TTTTTTTTTTTTTTTTTTTTTTTTTAATATATACAAATTTTAATATTAAATATTTTGTTTTTATTATTTAATCAAAATTATTTACGACTCTATATTTTAAATTCATGGTACTAAATTTTTAATAGTGACTTAAAGTTTGAATACGTATATTTATATATATATGTATTTTTTTTTTTTTAATATAATAAATATTCTTGTAAAAGTTATATTCCTTTTTTTTTTTTTTTTATTTTAATTTCTACTTTAATTTTTCAATACATTTAAACATTTTATAGGTTATTTTATCTCTTTTTTTATTAATAAGTTTGTAAAAAAAAAAAAAAAAAAAAAAATAATTTGTTTAATAATTGTGTTATAAATATTTTATTTTTTATAACTATATTATAAATCCCTTTTAAATATATATAAATTCTTTTATATCTGTTTAACTTTAATATTAACTAAATTTCTTATATATTTTTTATTCTGTTAAAATCAGAAAAAAAAAAAAAGATATATAACTACTCCAAGATAATTTCATAAACATTTGTATTTATATAAATATTTTATATTGTATATTATTTTTTACCTTACAACTAATTTCTACAAATTATACGATTCATATATTTTTTTTTTTTTTTTTTCATAATCACAAAAGAATTTGAATTTAAAGATTTTTTTCTTTATGATTTAAATATTCTTTATATAATTAAAAAGTATTAAGAAAAGCTTGATGAAGAAGTAAATTAACAAAGTAAAAATATAGAATGTATAATAATAAGGAGAAAAAGAGAAAAGAAGAATTTTATGAACGAGAAAAGGATACAGATAATAAAAGAAAAAAGAAAATGATTAATAACAAAATATTGAAAAGTACATTATCTAATAAAAAAAGTATTAACAAAAAAATTGAGAAAAATAAAACAAAAAAGAATTTACTTAAGGCAGGTGGTCTGATAGATAAAAAGATAAATTTTAATGAAGAAACAAATAAAAAAAATAAAAAGAAAAATATAAAAAAAAATAGGATAGTAAAAAATGGTTCAAATAATAAAAAAAAACATATAGGAATTAGTGGGAATATAAAAAATGGGAAAAAAGTAGTAGCGAAAAAAAAGATAAATATGAATGAGAACAACACAAATAATATTAATGAAAAAGAACAAGTAAAAAAAGGGGTAAATGAACAAATTGATGATGAAAAAGATAGATATTTATTGAAAATAGATGAGGATCCTTATTTATTAAAAGATGCTAAGTATATTAAAAAAAGTGAATTATGGAAAAATAAGCAAAGAGTATTAATTGTACGTTCCCCGTTAAAAAAAAAAAATTGTAAATCATTTATAGAAAATCTAAAATTATTATTACCACATCATAAAATAGAAAATAAATGGGATAAGAAATTAAATAAAAGTGAATTAAGTGAAATCAGTTATAGTAGAAATTGCAATAATATTATATTTTTTGATGTAAAAAAGAAAAGATATTGCTTATGGATATGCAAAAATTTAACTGGGCCTTCTTTATATTTTGAAATATTAGATTATATACCTTTGCATAGTTTGATTTTTTCAGGTAATTGTTTATTATATTCTAGGCCACTTTTAATTTTTAGTAAACATTTTGATGAATTAGATCATTTAAAGATAATTAAAGAAATGTTTATCCATGTGTTTGGAACTCCTAATTATCATCCCTTAAGCAAACCTTTTTATGATCATTGTTATAATTTTTTCTATATAAATAATTTAATTTATTTTAGGCATTATCAAATATTACCAATAACATTAGCTGACTCAAATAATATTAATAAACAAAAACTTGTAGAAATAGGTCCCAAATTTACCCTACATATCATAAAAATATTTGAAGAATGTTTTAAAGGGAGAATTCTTTATGAGAATGTAAAATATAAAAATTATGTTACACCTCAACAAATGAAGTTAGATCAAAACTTAAAAAAAAAAATGATTAACATAAAAAAGAAAGAAAAAAAAATTAAAAAAATTAAATCAATCAATAGATTAATTAAAACAGATATTGACTTTTAAAAAAATATGTATGTACAGATTTGCTTAATATATTTCAAATTTTATTAAAATACTTATATATGTCAAGCATGTTTAAGCATATATATATATATATATATATATATATATATATATATTTTTTAAAATTAAAATATACATAGACATTTTTATTTTAAAAATTTTTTTAAAACAAATTAAATTTATATATATATATATATTAATACAGCATCTTTTTTTTTTTTTTTTTCTTTTTTTTTGTTTTAAAAATATTTTATTCATAAATCACAAAAAAATTAAAAAAAAAAAAAAAAAAAACTATAATAAAATTCATAAATAAAAACAAAAACTTTGAATGAAGATTAATAAATGTAATATTCTTTTGTAGTTATACAGCATAATAAAAAAAAAAAATTCTTTTAATGACGCAAATACAACATATAAAAAACTAAATAATTTTTTAAATATATTAGATATTATAAAAACAAATGAATTCTATTTTACTCATTTATTCATTTGTTTTATTTTATTTTATTTTATTTCATTTTTTTTTTTTTTTTTTTTTTTTTTTTTTGCCCATATAAGAAATGATATAAAAAAAATTATAATTTTATATATTTATAAATACATTCGTATTTATAGAAAAAATAGTTTCTTTGTGAAGCGTTTCTTTAAATAAAAAAAAAAATTCAAAAAAAAAAAAAAAAAATAGGTGGAAAATATAATTAAAAAGAATAAATGAAAAATAAATTTTTTAATAGAAAAATATATAACTTGAAATTATTTTATTTCTTTTTTTACTAATATTTATCATATAATAAATATTAAAAAAAGAATTAAATTTTGAAAATGTCATTAGCAAGAGAAAAATATCTTAAAAGAAAAAGGGAATTATTAGAAAACATAAATTTAATTGATATTGGAGAAAAAAAGGAAGCAAACTTAGAAAAAAAGAGAGAGATAAAAAATCAAGATAATGAAAATAAAAATGATAAAACAAATAAATCTATGTCACAAAATGTTGAAAAAAAAAAAAGTGATCATAAAAAAGAGAATGAACTAAAGGATTTAAAAAGTACCAGTCATAATTATAAACCATTAATATATACAAATGAAGATAATAATGATATTAAAAATCCAAATAAACTAATTAAGAATAATATAAATGATAAAATTTTTAATAATAAAGAAAATACTTTAAATAGAAAAAATATTGATAATTTATTAGATAATGACGGAAACAATAATTTAATGAAAGATACTAATATTAATAAAAATATAAATAGTTTTTCACCTATAAATTATTATATTCATAACAAAGAATCAGGAGTGAATAATGATAACGATAAAAAGAAAATAGTTATGAATAATATATATGAATTAATAAATGATTTAAACAATATAGATATAAATAATAGTTTAATATTATTAATATATGTGTGTAAATTATTATTACATATGTGTGCAAAATCAAAAGAAAATCAATCTGTTATGAACACGTCATTAACATCGGTAGAAATGTTAAGAGAAATAAAAAATAGAAATCGCAAAAATATAAAATTATTAAAAATAAATATTATAAATAGCGTATTAATATATTTATCAAATAAAAGTGAAGAGATATACGAAAATAATTCAAAATTTATAGGTACAAATAACGAAAATTTTAATGATATATATGAAAAACATAAAGAAATTAAAATAGAAGAAAAATGTATAGATATAGAAAATATTGGTATAAATATAATAATAAAAGTTATATATATAAAAAATATTAAAAATTTATTATTTAAATATTTGTATCACTTAAATAATACTTGCAAAAATGCAAATGATGCAAAAGCATTAAATAACAATAATATGATTAATTTAAGTAATATAAAAAATAATGACAAAGTAAAAAATGAAGAAAAAAAAATAGTAACACCACCTTTAAATGAAAATAAGGATATACCTATAGATAGTAGTGGTAATAATTACAATTCTTTACTACAAGAAAATGAGAAAAAAAAAAAAAAAATAAAAAATAAAGGAACAAAAGGTAATAATGAAAGTTATATAGGAGAATATAATATGAAAAACAAAGAAGATAACAAGAATAATAAGATCAATTATTTAGAAAATTTGATAAATGAGCCGACAGCAAAGGAAAAAAAAATTAAACAAGAAAAAACAAATATACTTTCAATAATTGAGGCACCAACTGTAATAGAAGAAATGAGAATAAAAAAATTTCAAAAGAAGGATGATTCTGTAAAAATTATATGTCCTTATTTAACAAAAAAAATTTGTCAAAAGCATAGTAAAGATTGCAATAAGGTACACTTTAAAAAAATTATATCTGAGCATACTGATCCATCATTAGGGGATTGTTCTTATTTAGATACCTGTAGACATATAGAAACTTGTAAATTTGTTCACTATGCAGTAGATAAAGATGATCAAATAGTTAATAATCAGCAAAATATAAATGAAGAAAAATTATCTATTTGTAATATAAATGATAATACATATGGCCCTCAATGGATTAGATGTGATTTAAGAAATTTTGATTTGAGTATTTTTAATCAATATGTTAGTGTAGTAATGGCTGATCCACCTTGGGATATTCATATGGATTTACCTTATGGTACTATGACAGATAATGAAATGAAACATTTACCTGTACAGTTAATACAAGATGAAGGAATGATCTTTTTATGGGTAACTGGAAGAGCAATGGAATTAGCAAGAGAATGCTTGCAAATATGGGGATACAAAAGAGTAGAAGAAATATTATGGGTAAAAACAAACCATTTACAAAGAATTATAAGAACAGGTAGAACTGGTCATTGGTTAAATCATTCAAAAGAACATTGTTTAGTAGGTATAAAAGGTAACCCAGTTATTAATAGAAATATTGATTGTAATGTTATTGTGTCAGAAGTTAGAGAGACTTCAAGAAAACCTGATGAAATTTATTCAATTATAGAAAGATTATGTCCACAAAACTTAAAAATTGAACTTTTTGGAAGACCACATAATTGTAGAAATAACTGGATCACTTTAGGAAATCAATTAAATGGTGTCGTTTTACATCATCCCCAAATAAAGGAAAGATATAACAAAGTAGCATCTCTATTTAACTTGCCTTTATGTGAAAACTGAAACCGTAAAAAATGAAATATAAAAATGGATAGTAAAAAGTATATCTATAAAAATATAATTATAATGCATATTAGAATTATGCCCCTAAAAAAGAACGGAAATAGGATTATATGGATCAAATTATAAAAATAGAATTATCCCAAAAAGTTGAAATCATAAAAATTAGGTTACAAAAGAATAATAAAAAATAAAATAATTTTAGTAAAATCATAAAAAAATAAATGATAAAAAAAGATTTTAAATTTAAAATAAAGTTTTTTTTTTTTTTTTTTTTTTTTCAATTATGCAATTAGACATCATATAAACAATTCGAATTCGTTTAATATTTACTTTTTATTATTCTTGTTTTTTTGTATGAATAATTTTTTTTTATTATTATTTTAATGATTTTTAATAAATTTGTCTTAATGATTTTTTTTTTTTTTTTTTTTTTTTAATNNTTTTTTTTTTTTTTTTTTTTTTTTAAAGAAATTTCATTTTTTAAAATATACAATATAAATACATTTACAAGGATATGTCAATATATTTATTTATTTTTCTTTTTTAAATTAAATTTTTCATTTAATTATATACTCTTAATATATAAAAAAAAAAAAAAAAAAATAAAAGTACATATCATTCAAAAAAAAAGAATTCCCATAAAAAAAAAAAAACTAATTTTTCCTTTTATTTATTTTTTAGAGAAAATTGTTTTATTTTTATTTTCATATTAACTTTTTAATTATAAAAAAAATACATAATTACTTCAAAAAAAAAAAAAAAATGTAAAAAATTTCATTTGAAAAATAATTTTTTTTTTTTTAATCTATTGATTAAAAAGAATCATACGTATAAACAACCGAGTGTAAAACTAAACATTAATTTATAATTAACCTTTACATATAACACCTTTATTTAGCTATGATTTTTTCTTCTGTTTAATAATTAAATTTGAAAAAAAAATCTATAAATTAAAACTAAATTTATTGATATTATTTTAAACACTGGATAAACAAAAATAAATATATCCAATTTTTTTTTTAAAAAAGTAAAATAAGTTTTTTAAAAATTATGTAAAAATAAAATGAGAAAAATATGGACCCCTATAAGAAGATCAGAAGATCAAAAAATAATCAAAAATAATTATGATGAAGAAGAAAAGGAAAACTTTGAAAAATCTTTACCGAAGGATTTTATAGAAAACAATAGAAAAAATAGAAACCCGTATTTTGAAATAAAAGAATCTACTTGTATGTAAATATTATAGAGTGAATTTATATAACTATAAAAATTAAAATATATTAAAAATTAAAAAATATTTATAAACTACACATAAATATACATACATTATATGCTTTAATTTTATATTTAACATATGAAAATTTCAAGTAATAGAACAAAAAGAAAAAAAAGAAGCTCAAAAGATACTAGCTTTGGAATTAAGGGACAAGTGTAGGTAAAAATTGAATTAGATATATAAAAAGTAAAAAAATTAGGATTTTAAAAAATAAGTTGAAATAATATTTATGCTTTATTCGAAATTTTTTCCACAGAGCAGAAATTGATGAATATGTGGAATGTTCAGTAGGAAGATTATGGACAATTTTAAAGTGCAAAGATTTAATGGTTAAAATGAGGAAATGCTTAAAAAAATACGAAAATCTTGAAGTAAATAAGCATATTAGAAACATACAAATAAACTATCATTTTATTAAAAAATATTTTTTTGTAACATATGTATATATTTATATGTTTTTTTTTTTTTTGTTTAAGTATGTCAAATTCAGAGAAAAACAAATACTTGAAGAAAGAAAAAAAAATGGCACAAGTTTACTTAGATCAGATGAAAGAGCAAGATACAATAGATTTGTATACACGTAAAAAAAAAAAAAAAAAAGAAAGATAATAAAAAATAATTAAATAATTATAAATACATTTGTAAGTGTTTATGAATAATTATATAAAATATTTTCAAAATTAAATTTTCTAAATATAAAATTTTCTTTTTTGCTCTTTTACTTTTCTGATTATTTTGTTAATGATATTTTATAGAGATAAAGAAAAAGGTTGGATCCCTGAAAAAAGAAACTGAAAATTTTTTGAAATTGAAAAATTTTAAATATAATTTTTTTCTTGAGAAAAATTCCTTATTAAAGAAATATTCAAACAAGTTATGTGTAAAATATACATAACTATATTAATTAAAATTTAACATTTGTTTAAAAAAAAAAAAATAAGACGATATTTAATATTATAAAATTTTTACATTTTATTTTATATTTTTATTTACAAGATACAATTACTTAAAAAAAAAAAAATATGATATAAAATTTTTTAAAATTCAATAAATATACCTTACAAAAGGTGTAGAACAAATATTATTTCAATAAATAACATGATACTTATCATTTTCTTTATCGAATATATCAATATTTTGAAAAATGTTTAAATATTTCATATCATAAAAGTTGAAATCAACATTAAAAGTGTTAAATTTTAAAAATGACGGGATTCTTTTAAAATAAACACATACATTATGATGTGACGAAAGTAAATGAGTTAATCTGCATTGTTCTGAACAATATGTTGCAATATAACATCCTTGACAGTACTCAAAATTATTTTTATTATATTCATAATGATGTATATTAGTATATTTATTGCAAACAGAATTCCAACAATAAATACCATAATTAATATTTTTCAAACAATAAAATTCACCTATAGAATTTTCTTGTTTTAAATCGTTAAAATAGAATCTGTTAATTAATGTTAATTCTTGAAGCATGATATTATCATTTATTGTTTGTTTTCTTTCTAAAGCACATTTTATAAAATGGTTAATTTTTACAGCAACTACATAAGTTTGTTTCCATGTATCATTATTTGTTAATGGATCTTTGATATAATATGCATTTTTGATTAAATTTGTCATTTTTAGAATAATGTTACAATGTTTCCTTTTAATATATATGGAATTTAATTTGTATAAACATAATAAATCAGCTGTGAATAATAAAATATCTCTACCTATTAATATATTCATATCATCATAAAAAATATTATCGAAACATTCCAGCAAATTTATTTGACTATCATTAATTTTTTCAAGACATTTTTTACTTGATATTCCATATAAAAATTCTGTTATCATTAAAAAAAATGAGTTAATAAAATTTAAATATTTTTGATTTAAAACCACCCTTTCAATATTATTTTTTTTTAATGAGGAAATTATTATACTAAAAAATGAAGAGTCAAAAAAATTCTCAACTATATTTTCCATATTTATGTTTTTGTATTCTTTAAAAAAAGGAAAAAAATTTCTAATTGCGTCAATATGATAATTTAAACTTGATATAACAATATCATTATAAATATTATCATAATTTTTTTCTAGTATCATATTTATTCTAACCTCGCAATATTTATAAGTACACAATCTCATTAACAACCTATAAATACTTGGAATACCACTAAATAATATTCCTATAGTTAAAAATAAATAAAAAAATCATTATTAAAAATTAATATCAAAAATTATATTTTTAATTATTAAAATTATAATGTAATACACTCATAATACAAATAATAATATACATTTATTTATACCTGTAAAAATATAGTGTGAAAATTTGTAAAATTTTCTGTCTCTTCTTGAATACGTGAATTGATCAAGAACAGCAACATCATTATCATAGTTAAATAAATAAGAATAAAATGAATTTTGGAGAGAATTCAAATTTTCTATTGTAAGGGGTATCCATATATTATGTACAAGTTGTATCCAAAACTTTCCATTATCTATATGTAAATTTAACATATTATTTACAAATATTTCATTTCTATATATTTTATCTAAATTTGTTTTTAAATATATATCAGAAATGTCATTTTCATTTATATAAAAATCTCCTTTATGAATATAATTACTTCTAACATATTTTCTAATTTTTCTTAATCTATCAATATCTTCACTAGGATAAACATAATGATAATTGGTAATGAATAACTTCAAATACTTATATTTATCTATTCTTTCGTCAAAATCTGGATTGGTAATTATATTTAAAATATCAATTACTTCATTTATGTCTACTAAATCACAATTAAAATTTAAGTATTGAACTACCTCCTTGCATCTTTTTTCAATATCTCTTAAATAGTTTTTTTCTGAATCTTTCCCACAAATATTATAATTAGTATATTCTGTATTATATGAATCACGTTTTTTTTTAATTAAATTTTTATTAATATCTCTGGGTCTAAATTTATATTTATCGTGATTTTCTACTTTATAAAATTTTAAATTATTTTTTATATCGTTACATATTTTTTGTATTTTTTTTAAATGAATACAATCTTCGCTTACATTTTTCTTGGATAAATATAAAATTTCATTATAATTTTCATTAATGCAAATAGGATATGTACTACCACAATCTTTTGAAACATCTAGTCCTACATTTTTTAAATTAGTTTTACTTTTATCATTCATAGCAACTTCTTTGATTTCATCACTTTTTCTAAATAATAAACTTTTTTTATGCTCGTCTTTTACATTTTCATTTAATTTTCCCTTCTCATCTTTTTCTTTTGTATAAAATTCATCTTTTTCACTAATTTCCTCCTCATTTTTACTATTTTCTTCAAATGCTTCGCATGGTTTATATTCATCATAAATTCTCTCTTTATCATGTACAAAAATATGAATTAAGTCATTTAAAGATTTTATTTCTACTTTCTTTTTATAATTCACTAAAGTATCACAATTTTTAAATAAATCAAAAAAATCATCGTCAGTATTAAAATTTGTTTTTATATTATTTGAGTTATTCTCTATACAATCCATTTTTATATTTCTATCTTTTTTTCCCGTAAAATATTTTTACAAATCAAACACACATGCATATTTATTCATTTATTTTTTAAATAAATAGATAAGGTTAATATTTTATAATATATAAAAAAATTAAAATAAATTTACTGTAATTTATCAGAGTAGTGAATAATGAAAAAATTAAAAAAAGGAATTACAAATTTTTTTATTTTTGTACAACTTACAACATATTATGAGTGCACACACATAAAACATAAATTAAAAGAATACAAAAATTTAAATTTCTTAATGTTTACTAAAAATGTGAACAACAAAGATATATAATTGTATATTTTAATTATTTACACCTATTTCCATATTATAATTTATGAAGTATAAAAATACTTATTTTTTTTATGTATTTAATTATAATACTGTAATTAAAAAAAAAAAAAAACAAAAACAAAAAGAAAAAAGTAAAAATATATTTATTTATTTATATTGAAAAGTAAAACATAAAAATTATAATACTATTATATTTTTTTCTTTTATTGAAAATTATATAAAGGTCTAACTTCAAGCATCATTTATTAATACTACAAATAAATGTTTTAAATCTTATAATTCAAAACATGTTATAGAAGTTTTATATATAAAAAAAAATTATATAATTTTTATTTAATAATTTTATATTTAATGAATAGTGTTTCAAATATAAATAATTTATAAAGCATATTTATCCACTACCTTTATTATATACACACAGGAAATATTATATTATAATATTAAACATAAAAAAAAATGTTACTGGGAATACTAATCACTATTTTCTATATTAATAAAAAAATTTCGGTAGAAAATAATAAATGTTTATGAATCTTTTTTGTTTTTTTGAAATAATATTAAAATTAGGAAAAGTTTTTATTTTTATTGATATTAACGCATTAAAAACATTTTTTTGACATTTTTGTATAAAATGTTAAAAATTTATTATTTTAATCTTTGTTATTATTATTGTGGTTTTCATTACATTATATTAAAGAACAATTGATAAGTTTAGAATGTGTTTTTGTTCATGAAATAAATTGATATTCTATTTATAATATTTAAAATTAGACAATATAAATCAACCGAACATCCTATTAAGTATTTGGAAAATTATTTTTGATTTTTCATTTTTTTCTTTTGAATGAAGAAAAAATACGTTATTTTATAAAAATTTTGTATTTATTTATTTTTTTTTTACTAAATATATTAAATCATTTTTTTGTAAATTTTTTAATTATATTATTAAAAAAGCTATATCTTTTTCTATTTATCAATAATTTGCGTTAAATTTTTGAATATAAAAAATTTATATAATTATTTTCAACATAATATATATTTTTTTTTTTTACTGAGTACTTTGTCTTGGTATATATTAGTTTATACTGAATTATTTTCCTAATTTTTAAAATAAAAAAATTAAAAACATTAAGAGAAATATTTTTTCATTACTTTTTTTTTTCTTTTTTAATTATATAAATTATATTTTTATTTTTTTTAAATAATATATATTATTTATTTTTAACAACATATATATGCATAAATTACTTATGTGAGTATATTAATAAATAAAAAATGGAAGAACCTAAATGTGACATTTTATATGAACATATGAATTGTGAAAAAAAAATTAAATTAATAAATATAGCAAAGGAAATATATAATAGTATAAATAATAATAAAATAAATTCTTGGAGAAGTGCAACAATAGCTTTAAGAGATAAAATAAAAGATATTTTTGATTTTAATGAAAAAGGGTGGCACATTATTATAGGATATAAGTTTGGCTTTTTTTGTACTCATGAAATATATAATGCTTTGCATTTTAAATTAGATCATATAGAGTTTTTAATATTTAAACATGGATAATTAAAAGTATATATTTATATTCTATATTTATATTAATTTTTTTAATTAAAATTATTTTCTTCTATAAATAATTCATATAAAAATTTTTTTTTAATTCCTTTTGAAACTTTGAAACTACAAAAAAAAAAAAAAAAAAAAAAAAAATAATTTTTAGAAAATTTTTTTTTTACATATATGTAAAATTTCATTGAACGTAAAAATAGTATAAAAAAAAAGTAACTTATTTTGTTCTTTACCTTTTTATATATACTTCTATTTATACATATATACACATTTTAAAACATAAATTTCAAAAAAAAAGTGTTAAGGAGTGTTTCTTCAAAATCAAGTAAAATTATAACAATTATTTGATTATATTAAGAATCTTCACAAATATGATCAAACGTATTTTTTTTTAATAAAAATAAATGTAAAAAAAATTAATAATAAATATTTTTATTTTAATAAATACCTAAATATATAATTATGTCTGATTTTTTTTATTCTCATGTATTTTTAACCAAAAATAAAAAAAGATAGATATAATTACAACAGAAAAAAATTAAATTCTATTAATAACAAAATTAAATACATTTCATAATTTATAAGAATGATTTTTTAACTTTAAAAAAAAATTTCGGCTTCTGGAAAATAAAGGATATTTAAAACAAAAATCTTTATGTTTATTTAACATATAAATAATTAAGAGAATATTACATTAAAATTATTCATTAGTAAAAGTTATTTGCTCACAAAATAATAATTGCCTAATATTTTTAAGTTATGAGCATACAGGTATTTACTAACTACCAGTACAAAGATATATTAAATAATTTTTTATTTTAGTTTCATGATCATTTTATGGTCTAATGTTCTTGGCAAAAAATGAATTTTTTTTTTTTTTTTCTTACACTATGTGAGTTACTACACATTTTTTTATAAGTAAAAATTTTTGCACACACAAAAAAAAAAAAAAATAAGACTTTTTTTTTGTTTCAATTTTTTATTGTTTTTCTTTATTTTATGTAACTTATTTACATATTCTATGTTATATAAAATAAAAATAAGTAAAAACATTCTTATTAAAAGAACATTAGGATTATTTTTAAATATATTTTAACTTGTATTTTTTTATTTAATATAACAAAGTTTTCCTTAATTCACTAATAAAAATTTTTTTATTCAATATTATGTGAAATTAAAATATGTTTGTTTTTATTTTTTATTCTAGTAAGTTTTTTCATATGCTATTTTATTTTAAGAAGAAGAAAATAAAAAAAATTTTATGTATCAAACAATAGTTTTTATTTTACACATGTTTTTGCGTTGATTTTTTTTTTTTTTTTTTTTTTTTTTTTTTTTTTTTTTTTTTTTTTTTTTTTTTTTTTTTTTTTTTTTAATTATTTTTTTTTTTTTTTTTTTTTTTTTTTTTTTTTTTTTTTTTTTTTTTTTTTTTTTTTTTTTTTTTTTATTTTTTTTTTTTTTTTTTTTTTTTTTTTTTTTTTTTTTTTTTTTTTTTTTTTTTTTTTTTTTTTTTTGTTTTTTGACTTTTTATTGTATTTTGTTCTATTTGATTAACAAAAAGGATAAAAAAAAGAATTAAAAATAGTTTTTATTTTGTTCCTATTTTCTTAATTAAATAAATATATTAAAAAAATATGTTCTTAAATCTAAAGTTTATTTTATTTCTTACAACATGTATATATTATATATAAATACAACTTTTTTTAATGTTGTTCTTATATCATTTATAACTTTTAGAAAATATTCATATTTTTTATTTTATATTTTTTTTTTATTCCATTTTTTACACTAATATTTTTACAATTATAAGTCTTTTTCTTTGTTAGATAAACACATTAATGATATTACACATTATTTTTACATCATATGTTTAAGTATACAAAATATAATAGTTCATTTTTTTTTTTTTTTTTATGTTATTTTTTGTAACTTTTAAAATGCGTATATACATATTCATTTATATCTCACTATAATTTTTTTTTTATTTGTCTTATTTATTCATTATATAAAATTAATAAAATAAGTTTGCATTATAGAAAAATTTATATGGAATTTATTTATTAAGAGTATTTTCTTATCTTTATATATTTTTAAATATAGTTATTAAAATTATGGAATTAGAAAAAACTCACCTTATAAATTACTTTTTGGAAATATGTCCTACTGTTTTAGATTGTTCTAGAACAGAACTACAATCAATTTTAGCTAAAAAAGAAGAAGATAAAATAAGAAGATTTATGGTAGATAAAAATATAAATTTAATTGTTATAGGAAAAGAAACAAAGGAGGTAATAGAAAATGAAGGAACGGAGAGAAATATGAAATTAGAAAATGAACAAGAGGACAAAAAGTTAAATTTGGATAAAGAGCCATGCAGTTTCTTATTTGTAGAATTAAACATAAATTATAGATGTGTTACTAAAAGTATATCAATTGCATTTATGAAAAGAAATAAAGAAAAATTTTCAACATTAAATGAAGAATTAGATAAAGGTAATAAAATAAATTTGTCCAATGAGCTATTGATGTTTGTATGTGGCCAAAATGACTGTAATACCCCTTTAGATTTAGTATATTTATATTTATCTCAGGGTTTTAATACAATATTTGATGCTGCTTCAAATACTACACAACAAAGTTCTTCTAATGAATTTCCTCAAATTGGTTATTCAAGAAAAGATGTAGACACAGTAAGTGGAACAAACAAAGCTATATGTTATGAAGGAGAAAATAAAATATCAAATATTTTAATGGCAAATGTATCAAAGAAGTTAAATGAACTACTAATATCTATGAAAAATGCACAAATTGATTTAAATATTCCCATTATAAATTTAAGTGTCGATAAAAGGATAAAAAAAATAGTAGATGAAACTCCTAATATCAATGAAATTAAACCAGAAATATTAAAAGGATTATGCGAATCTCAAGAATTTTTGAACCAACTTCAAAAAGATGTAACAAAATGGGTTGAAGAAATACAAAAGCTAACAAGATTAAATGGAGATTTTAAAGGTGGAAGTGCATTATCTGAAATTAATTTTTGGATAGGTTATGAAAATGCTTTATCTCATCTTGAGAATCAATTGAAAAATCCTGAAGTTCTTCTAACGTTACAAATATTAAAAAATGCAAAAAGATATTTTGCAACAATGTCTTTTGATAGTGATATACAGCTAAGACAGTCGAAAGAATATGTTTTAAATGTTAACATATTAATGAAAGATTTTCCCATAAATGATCTTCTAGGAGCAACCAGTATTCAACAAATTATTCAAGCTATAAGAAATATCTTTAATCATTTAAAAAAATTAAAAAATACAACAAAATATCCACTATCTAGATCCTATAATTTTGTTGAAGCATTATCTAGAGACTTAGCTAACACCATGAGAAAGGTGTTATCACCACAGCCTCTACTAGGCATGGATTATCAAGAATTTGAGGTCCTCATTTCAGGATGTATGGAAGCATTTCGTGTATGGAATGAAGAAATGAGAATTTTTAAAGATATGGTGAGAGAGTTAATAAAAAAAAGAAGCTTTAATGAAAGAGCTCCTGCGAAGATGACATTTGAGCATAGTTATCTTCAAGAGAGATTAGATGAAGTAAGAAAATTCAGAAAACAACATCAAAAGTTTAAAAGTGTTATAACAAAAGTATTTGGAAATGATAGAACTATAGGAATAAATTTAAATAAAGATATAAATTTAGCTTATAGTATATTCTTATCATTAGATGCTCTTGATTTATCAAAGACTGGAGAAGATCTATGGGAAAAAGCGAAAATTTCTTATGAATCGAAAATAAATAGAGTAGAATCGCAAATTACATTTAAACTAAGAGATCAATTAGGAGGAGCAAAAACATCTTCGGAAATGTTTAACGCATTTTCGAAATTTAATCCTCTGTTTTTTAGACCTAAAATTAGTGGAGCCATTCAGGAATATCAAAATACATTGATACAAATTGTTGTGGATGATTTAAGAAAATTGCAAATGATCTATATCAATGGTTATTTGAAAAGTGATTCTGAAAAGGTGTCTACTATACGAGATATTCCCTTAGTAGCTGGATCTATAATATGGGCTAAACAAATTGAAAGAAAATTAGAAAATTCTTTAAAGAGAATTGAAAATGTTTTAGGAAGGGGATGGGAACAACATTCAGAAGGTAAAAACTTACGTCAGAATATTGATAACTTTAAAAATTTATTATCACAAAACAAAACTTTTGAAAAGTGGCTAAAAAATATAAAAAATGAGGATAAATTTGATATGTATGAAAAAATTATAAAAATAAGAAAGCTTGGTGCAAAGAATTATGAAATATTAGCAAATTATGATCCTGAATTTTTTAATTTATTTAAGGAAGTTCGATATTTGCAATCTACTAATTTAAGAGTCCCTTATTCTATAAAGGTAAAAGCTGATGAAACAAAGTTAATATACCCATATGCATTAACTCTGCAAAAAACATTTAGAACTTATATGAAAATTTGTCTTTTTATGGAAAATGAAGCAAAATTAATACCTTTTAATTCTACTATAAGCAAATTAGTAGCATCCATACATAATGATGTGCAAAATAAGATAAAAGAAGGAATAAATTTACATTGGGATTCAGATATATTAGAAACATATGTAAGAAAATTATCAGAAATAATGAATACTTTTGAGTCGATGGTTGATGAAGCAGCCAATAAAAATTATTTTGTTTTAGATACTCTTGAGAAATTAAAAACGTGTGAGATAACAAATGATGGTCAGGAAATTAGAAAACTAATAGAATGCATTCAAGAAAAAGCAGATGAATTGTATCTAGAGCACTATAAAAATGTCCACATCTGGATTGATGAACTTAACATTCTTTTAAATAAAATATTATCAAAAAGACTAGAAGAAATTATAAAATCATGGACTAACGAATTTATAAATTGGCCCAACAATGGAAAAAGATTCATAGAAAAAGAAACTATTCATGAATTTAAAATAAAA